TTTTGTTTCCTTCTTAGCTTTTTTTATTGTCTCTTTTGAATGGTGTGTAAATGTGGTTTATTGATGGCTCATTTGTCTAAATGCCAAGCTTCCAGGAATTCCCTAGCGTTTTTGGATTTAGCTTGGTCTAAGATGCTGAAACTATGGTTAAGTCTGTCCACGTGTTGTGAGATTAAGGAGTTTTTCATTGTGTCTTCTGACTGCTGTTTGGTGTTCATGGATGCACTCTGCTAGTCTTCTTCCTGTCTGTCATATAGGGGCTGTTATAGTCCTTACACTGTATGTTGTAGATGACTCCTGGTTTTTTTTTCTCCTTGGGTTACTTTCTAAGAAAGGAACAAATACGAGAGGGAAAAACATTCTAAGATTCATTCCTTGACAGGCAATTGACAGTTTTCTTTAACCTGAAATAAATTGATGAAATAAAAGTACTTGATGCATTTTTCAGTAATAAAGCAGACTGGTAGTTGAAAGGAAATTACTTTGATACACTTAAGTGAAGAGACAAGTAGATAGTGGTAGGTTAGAAAATGGGTTAGAAAGCTTTCTGTCAGGACCAGACTTTAATCTAATTTTCCTGCATGATAGATTCAAAATATTGCAATTGTAGGTGTTAGTACAGTGTAAATTTAAATTGGAGAAGCAGTATTGGAGTTTGGAACTAAAAAGTCCAGATATTAAAGCTAATTAATATTATCCTTTTTAAAATTCATATTCATGTTGAATAACCCTAACTCGTTTTTTAAAGAAGGAAAAACTATTTTTCCAGAGGTTGTTTTCCAGCATATTAGTGTCGTTATTCTATCACATCTGAAGCTCAGTTGCATGTAAAACTTAGGCACTTGCATTCAGATTGTAGATTTCAATGAATCCCTAAGTGAATTGAAGCTGAGACAACCTTTGCATGGTATAATGTTACTCATATTTGAATGCATGCAGACCATTTGTGTGAAGTTGTTTACAGATGAAAAATAAGAAAGCAGTGAATATAACAAGTTGGTCATCCTTCCAATTGATTCAGTGCTGCTTAGCTGAACTGAATATGATCCAAAGTCAAAATTCTCTCCATCCACCTCTGACTGGCTAGCTGATATCTCTGGTGGGATTTCAAGATGGGAGAGCCATTCCATAAAGCACTACTCTGCTTCAGTCTTTTTCTTTGCAGGATGAGAAAGGAATCCTTTCCATGTGCATGAGATAGTTTCTCCCTTCATTGCACATATTGTGCCTCTCTCCATGTCTGAGAACTTGGGAGTGATAAGTTTCTTAACTTATCCTGCATGGAGTTACTTGTCTGCAGGGGAAGGAAACAGTCACCCCCAGCCCTTTCAACACAACAGAGAGCATGGTGCTGGGGAGAGGGGGTGGTATCTCTGCAGGCTGGATGTAGATGCCTTTTACAGTACTTCACACCCAGCTTGCTCCTAAAGATTCTCAATTCCTGTGTTAAATCTGGGAGAATAGTGTGCTACAAATCTTATGCCAAAATAAATTGATAATTTTTAAAGGAATTATAAGTCAATTTATTTATTTTCTACAACAGTGAACATATAGTTTAAGTCTCTTTAAACATATGCAATATAATAAGCTTGATATTTTAATGAAACTTTATTTTGAATTAACACATTTCTTACTATCAACAGGGTCAAAAAAGCGTTCATGTAAAGTTTTATTTGAGTATACTCCACAGAATGAGGATGAGTTAGAACTGAAAGTAGGAGACATTATAGACATGAATGAAGAGGTAAGTTATTTTAAAGAATTTTTGTGAAAAATTAAGTAAATCTGAAAGTCTTAATTGAATTGGAATAGCAAAAAAGAAGTTTCTAGATTTTCATTATCCTAATCAAAATAACATGACTGAAGATTTCTATCTTACAGTTAACTAGAGAGAGCTATTATAATACTGCTTATTTATGATATATTTTTGAAGGACTCTGAAAAATTGAAATAGGAATGTTACATCTGATAGTGTTATTGTACAGAGATGCACTGTAGTAATTAAAATGCTAGAAATTAGAAGCTCACAAAATATTAGAAGTGTGAAGCTCATTAAAGCTTATGCCTTTTAATAAAAATATGTTAGCCTGAAAAGGTACTACCAGACTCCTGATTTTGTCTACTCTAGACTAATACAGTTCTCCTTCTGCAGTGTCTACTATTAAGACTAGGGGGACCCAAATATCCACTTTGGCCTAGAAGTTTCTCTCAGCTTAAACTACCATGCAAGTTTGTTCTAAAAATAAAATTGAGGACAAATAAGAATCACATAAGCCAAACATGAAGTAGTATAAATGGAATAAAAAATAATTGTTTTAGATATTTTCATTTCTGTACAGCTCTCACTGTGAAAGAGATAAAGACTACAATTTAATCTATATAAATACATGTAGATCTCAATTACCAACTACCTCATGCAGTGACCATTCAGTTACAATGGTGCTGAAAAAAATAACTTTGTGACAAAGGTGCACATTTACAATTTTCACAGGGTGTCTCTCTCAGTCATGTGTTTGCCATTACAGTCAGTTAGTACACATCCTGTGCCTGACCCTTTTTTTTTAATCCCCCCCCCCCCCAAGCAGTCTCTTCCTGAGCTGCTTTTCTCTGCAGCACAGTGCTTCCCAAAAGGTGCTAACTGCAAGTTGAGCTCTGTGACCTTATTTATCTGCTGGCAGCTGCTGCCTGTAACTGACAATACCTTAATCATTTTCACACTTTCAGCTTTTGTTTGCCTCCTAAACAGCTTGGGGCTCAGAGCCATGAGCTTGCTAGACAAACAGCCAGTGCTAGCACATTCCTTTCAACATGTATTCCCCATTGTGTGCCTGCTTACTCTCTTGTAATATCTTCATCTTCATTGAATGTAAATACAAACATTAATTTCCTTCTTGCTAATTATCCCAGTGCCTGGGTGAGCATTCCAAAGGGTGGGGGAGTGGGGAAAAAGGAAAGCTGAAGTAAAGTCATAAGCACAGATGCGGTCACATGATTTTCCATTTAGTGACTGTATCACTTAGCGACAGAATCACCAGTCCCAATTGGGGTCGCTAAATGAGGACTACCTGTATTGCAAATTTTTCAGTAGCTCCAGTTGTACATCCTCAGGAAAAATAAATGTGCTACAGATCTTTCAACTCACTGCAACAACTCTGTTCTTAGCTGCCTTAGAATCTTCATCAAGCTTACCTTCTAAACTTTCTGTTTAATGTAGTTTTCAGACTCCTTAGAACTTGCAGTCAGTGACTAATCTCAAGGGAAAAAAACCTAAGGATCATCTCCCTCCTCTTCCAATTATACCACCACTATATTTTCTCTCTTCATACAAAGCTGGTTGCAAGACACGGGACCAGAATTTCAGCTTTCATAAAGTAGTCTTTGTTGTTTGTAAGGAAGAAGCTTGGTGCACACTTGATGTTCAATGTAAGTTGACAGGGTAATATCACCCACTGCTCTATGTTTTCTTAGTATCATACAGCTATATAGAGCAATTTCTAACAATCTGTGGGTGATTTAGTCTCTTGTCCAACATCAGTATTCCTTGCCTCACATGCTCTGACCATTAAGTATATGTACTAGTCCTGCATATTCAAGGTACTCCTGAATTCCTGCATATCTCTGATGGTATTTAGAGCAAAAAATAGTGAGCATCTTTCCTTTTCATGTTAGAGGTAATGGAAATCATTTTTTTTCCACAGGTGGAAGAAGGCTGGTGGAGTGGGACTTTGAATGGCAAGTCAGGCCTTTTTCCTTCTAACTTTGTAAAAGAACTAGAGATAACAGATGATGGAGAAATACAAGAAAGCCTAGAAGACACAGGTAATAAATGCAGGCAAACAGAAGGTGGAACTAATTATCTGGGCTTCTTTCTGTCAGTTTCAGGCTGGGATTCATTGCTGGGACAGCATTGGTCATGCCTGGTGGTGCATCCATCCTTGCACTCCTCGATCTCTCAGCAGCTTTTGATACTGTTGGTCGTAGCATTCTTCTGGGCCAGCTGCAGGTCTTAGAAGATGGAGGCGCTGTGCTATGGTGGTTCTCCTTTTCTCAGCAGCCAGTTCTAGTTGGTGTTGACAGGGGAGATTGTGCCCTCTGCCCCTCAGCTCTGGGGTGCCTTAAGGATCCGTGCTCTCTCCCCTCCTGTTTAACATCTACACACAACTGCTAGGGTGATCATCCATCAGTTTGGAGTCTGGTGTCATTGATATGTGTAATACTTTATTGATTAGCCATTAGGCTATATCAAAATACAAAATATAAAATACAGAACAGTAATAAGACCATATGTTAAAAAATAGAGTAAGATATGTAAGTAAAATGGATTACTGCAATGTGCTTTTCATGGATACTTCCTCCACATCGTGTACAGTTGATAGGGAAGCCTTGGGAAAGGAGGAGAATCGCATTTTGGTATTGCAGTGAGGTAAGAGCCATATCTATAGCTTCATTTGCTTTTGGCTCTGGCTGTACCCACCTATAAAATGTGGTCTATCACCAGATTTGACTGTGATAATGTAGATTTTGACTAACTGGCCTACCCCTGATTGAATGGCATAGAGCCCTAATGAAATGTATGTGTATGATATATTACAGTTACTGTCAAATGAGTGCTTTTGTGTCTTGTGAATTTCTGAATGTTAAAAATTTGTGTATACACTTATAGAAATGATTTAAACATTTCCACATCTTTAACCTTATGATATTTGAATTGCATCCATTCAGAGAAGTATGGCAAAAGGGTCTTAATAGACGTAAACTATTAATACTCAGATTGAAGGCATGTTCAATCAAAAATTAGAAAAATGCAAGTTGTGGTGAAGGTTTTTCTTCCCATCATTTTTAACGATACATTCACACTATTCTAATTTTTCCTTTCTTTAAGTAATAGGGAGAAAGGTTCTTATTGATAACAATTTTTATGGCTTTTAGATTGTCATTTCAAAAACAAGTGTTTTTACTTTATTGTCCAAACCCTCAATTCCTTCCTTCCTCCCTTCCACTTGGGTGAAAGCCATAGAAACAGCAGGTAATAGAGTGTCAACACTTAGATCTGAGACACAGCTAGAGATCAAGGGCATCCTTGTGAAGACATCACTGATTGTCTCAGAATAGATAATTTTTCAGTTTCATGCCATTTGTAGAGCTTGTGGAAGCTTTGGTTTCAAACTTCTGGAGGATGCTCCCCCTGTGAAGCCTTAGTAACATTATAATAGTCTGGGAGCCTGGCAGAAAACAAGAGAAGTTTTCTTAAGCACATTGTATCCACATAGTAGTAATATTTATTTGCTCAGTGGCCAGCAAAATTTAAAAATACAGATAGTCTTCGCCAACTGCTCATTCAGCAATCATTTGAAGTTGCAATGGCACAGAATGAATGGTACTTACACCAGTCCTTGAAGTTCTGGCCATTGCACCACCCCAACAGTGACGTGATTCGGGCACTTAGCAACCAGCTCACACTTATGACAGTTTGCCATTTGCAACCTTCCCACAAACAAAATCAATGGGGAGGCTGGTAGGGAAGGTCACAAGTTGCTCCAGTAAGTCCCCCTGGCCTCCCTGTGCTCCTGTAGCACCCTGCTTCCCCCAGCTACCCTGTGCTTCCTCCAGCCTCCCTGAGCTTATATGGCACCATACTCTGCTTTCTCTGGCCTCCCTGTGCTCACGCGGTGCTGCAACGTGCTTCCTCCAACTTCCCTGTGCTGATGCATGGCTTGCACTGGGCCTCCCAGGGCCTCCCCCCTCCCCCTGTGGCACACACCCCCATGGCATAACTGTGCTCCTTAACTGGGACTCCCACTGCTTCCCACTTAACGACCTGCAAGTCTTGGGGTTATGATGGCAACTGGGACTGCCAGAACTCTTGCTAAGCAATGGGGTCACGTAGATTTACTTCAGTCTATGAAGTAAAAATACATATCACCTAAAACAAGCTAACTAGACATAATAAACCTGAGGTGATGAATAAAACAGAAGTGGTTATTCTTGTGACCTGTTATACCTCATTGTGGCAGCCCAGAATTTGGCTGTTGAACAAGTAATGAAGGGTTTCAAATCTTCTAGAAGATGATTCACATAGAAATTGTCTGACTTTCCTTGGAATTTACATATTAAGGGCAGAATGTAAGTAGACCTAATATCCCTGTGGAATTTATAGTGTAATAGATACTGTGTTGAAAACCCCAGTGCTAACATATAGTTAGGGGGTCCTGTGGGCATGCTTAAACATAAACATAAGTGCTAACCGAATTTTCCATTTTCAGAATCTGTTTTTCATGGACCACAGTCACCTGGAACCTCACCAGGGAATGGTAGTGAGTCTGCATTTGCACAGATAGCACAACCAAAGAAAATCAGAGGAGTTGGGTTTGGAGATATTTTCAAAGAAGGCTCAGTAAAACTTAAGCCGAGATTGTCCAGTAATGATTCAGAAGAAAAAAAGCAAGATAAGGTAATGAGCCTAAATATTATACATTCCGAAATGGAGCAATTGTACGTATTAGGATAAAAAGCTTGGTAACTTGTGCACTTATAAAAACAAAGTAGTTTACCTTTTGAAGAATTTTATTCTGCCTCTTTGTAACAGATGCTGCTTCACAGGTAACATTGTTCTGCAACAACGGCTGAAATGCACCATTCCATTGATGCCTTTTACATAAAGCAGTTTACTGTATTCTTCAGATCTGAAAAATTATATTTTTAACTATAATTTGGGAAAATTTGAGAGCCAGTAAGGTGTAATGTTGGACTAGGAGTGGGAAAACCTATGTTCTAGTCCATCCTCAGCCACAGAAGCTCACTAACTTTGTGGCAGTCACTCTTACCCCACCCACTTTGCAAGTTGTTGGTATGGGATAAAGTGGGAGATCACTATGTATATCATCTTTTGCTCCTGAATAAAAGGTGGAATAAATTAAAAAAATCCAGCTACATAAATTATCATTTGAAACTTTACCATAGTTAAAAAGAGATTCTGGGGTTTGAATAGCATGGCAAGCTGCAGTGAAGAACTCATTGGGAGTCAGACAGCATATAAATTGGATGGATAAGTCAGTAGGAGGAAGCAAAAGTTTCCAAATGCCTGTTCATGTCTGTGCTAGCAAAATAGCACATGAGCATGGTAGTAGAAATTGGGGGAAACTTCAATAGTTTGACTAGATTTTTGAAAATCTGAAGGAGGATATGAGGGCAGTCAACTAGCCTGACTACACATAAGGTATTTCAGGCAGTATAGATTGCTCCCCTGTAAATAGGTGGCCACTTTTAATCACATTATTGAGTCAGCTGATAATGAAAGTAAGTAAAGGCTTTTTGCTTTCATGTCTCATGAAAAGTAGTACATGAATAGTTATACTTCCATTTCTCAAAATCTATTTGGGAAAAAAATAGTGTATGTTGTAGTTGTATTTTTTCCCACACGCTAACTTTGAAAAGACACTTGGCCTTTTTAAAAGGTTATGGCCAACCATGTATAGGCATATTTATCACTTGAGCTATACAGTGGTACCTCTACTTACGAACTTAATCCGTTCCGTGACTCTGATTGCAAGTCGAGTTGGTCGCAAGTTGAAGTAAATTTTCCCATAAGATTCAATGTAATTACCGTTAATCCGTTTCGGTGTCCGCGGACCACGTGTCAGGGGCGGGAAAACGGCCGCTGACCACGCGGCAGGGCGGGAAAATGGCGGCGGACCACGTGTCAGGGGTGAAAAAATGGCCACGGACCACGTGGAACGGGCAGAAAATGGCCGCAGACCACATGGAACAGGCGGAAAATGACCGCGGACCACA